CCCCAAAACCCCAAAACCCCAAAACCCCAAAACCCCATATATGAAATAAATAATAGAAAGAGATATAAATAACATGAGTGCAAAAAACAAAATCAAGCCAGATGGGAAAACGGTTAATACAGTTGACCAAAAAGTAAAAATGAAGGAGAAGTTACTAAATGCCCTTCATAACAATTTTGGAAACATGAACTTTTCGTTTAAGGAGAGGATCAACAAGCAGTTTATTCAACATCTTCAGAATAACAAATAAGACTAAAGTAAAGATGGATTCCAAGGATATCCAAAATGAAGATGGGAAAGAGGATGCCAAGGTTGACTTACAGAATATTCTTAAATCCTACCTTGGCATTGCTAAAGACCAAAGTGCAGAAATGAAGGATTTGAACAAATAAAATATTTCCTCCCGATGCTTTTGGGTACCAAGAGTTAGAAAATATTACCAAGGATAGCAAAGAGACTAGCCAAGCTGATCTTGATAAATAAAGTAAGTTTCCAGTTTCTTTATACTGATCGAGAATCACTCTCGGGTGTATAGGTTCAAGAATTACTGCAGAAATATTCAAGAGGAGAGGGAGATTCACCTAAATATAAGATTGCAGGTGACAAGTTAGAGACATGTTTTGGATATGGGAACAATAAAATGTTTGGTAAAGAGTTAAAGCAAGCGATGGAGGATGTTCATAAAATAAATTCTGAAATCGAGGGAGCTAAACAGGAATCTAGATCAAAAGAAAATAAAGATTTGCAAATCACCAAGAATCTAGAAGAAGGTATATTTTGGTGATCATCAATAGACAAACAAAGCGATACTGATAGTGGTTCACCAATGTTAGATGCTACCACACAAGAGAAATTAATTAATTTAGGCCAAAGTCTTGACTCAAAATAAGCTCACTGAAGCAATGGGATTCATCGATTTGAGAATGCTTCTAAAATGATATGCTAAAGCTATCTCAAAGCATATAAATTTTTCGGAAGGATATCTATTTGTCAAAGATAAAGTAAATTCTGCAAGTTTACAGAATGAAAGACTCCAATTTACTTATGATCTGAAAAATATGAAAATTGACTTAAATCAAGGAAAGAAGATTGCCTCTGACAAAGACATTAGCCAAGAAGGTAAGTTGATTTAGCTATTTTTGTGATCATACTAAGTTTTCTAGAAACAAAGGCCAATATTGACAATATTTCAAAAATGAACATTACTATTCAGGATTCCGAACTTCTTGATACAATTGGAGGCGATAAGGTAATGCAACTAAGATAATACCCCTGTTTCTTTGTTCAGAATATATTCGTAAGAGATTTAGGTAGTGCCAATGCTTTTGTTACTAATATTTTTAATAGAATCCAAAAGAAGTGGAAAATGAAAAAGAAATTGACTGAAATTCAGATGTAAGATTATGAAAAGTTTCTTCTGAAGCAATCAGAGATCCTAAAAACTCAGAAATATTTAATGCTCAAAATGACATGAATAAGGATAGTTTCATTTCATCATTTCTCACTAACAAGGAAGGGAGAAGTTCAATGCAAAGCTATGGCACAAGTGCGTTTGATTCATCTCTTCAGTACTCAAATACTGCTATTTCATTTAATAATTTAAGCTCCAGGCCTCCAATGGAAGTAATTGAGAGTGTTGGAGGAGATACTCTCACAATTTCGGAGAAGGAAAAAGATGATGCTAGTGATGATCAAGATGATTTTGATAGATATGAGGAAATTGACGTCAAAAATGTAGGGCTTGAAACTAGAGATACTCCTTCCAAAGACAAAAAGCAAAAAGCCATACTCACTCCTGAGCAAATAGCTCAAGCCCATCATGAGAGAGAAAATGAAAACTTAGAAGATGAAAAGATTGAATGACTAATTAAATGAAAGGAACTGATAGAGACAGGACACTTCACAATTGATGATTTTAAAGAAAATGAAGGTAAAATACATATCATATCAATAGAAAACAAAGAGTTCTCAGAGGGCTACAAGATTCTTAACAAAATGACCGAGAAAGGTTTGAAGAATAATCTAGAAACACAGCTATTGAAATGTCATCAAAATTACAGTTTTGATACAGAGAGTATGCTTGATTTATCAATGCCTACTTCATCTCTTGCTCTAAAAGAAATGTATGTCAGTGAAAAGCCGACACAAGAGGAGATCTATTATTACTCTAAATACATCGTTCTTTCCTCAAGAATGGAAAAAGAGATCCCATTGGTCTCTCTAGCTTACCTGGAAAGACTCTGATCTAAAACAGGTATTCTGATTAACCATTGGAATTGGAGAAGACTTATGCTTATATCTCTTACTGTAGCATCAAAGATTTGGGATGATGAAAGTTTAGAGAATGTCCACTTTCCTAAAGCAATGGCAGACGTCTCTTTAAAAGAAATCAACAATTTGGAAAAGCTATTTCTTGATTTAATAGATTATGACCTGATGGTCAGAGGAGCAGATTATGCTAAATATTATTTCATCCTTCGCTCGATTAGTAAAGAGTTCGAAGATCCTGAAAATGTTCAGATGGATCCTATCACTGTCGAACACATGCAGTTGTTACAAAAGAATAGTGATAAAGCAGAGGAGATTTTAAGAGGGATTTATAAGAACCAAGATTTTTCTGCATCAATTTAATTGATGCTGTGTAATTATGATCCAAAAGCATCAAAGCAAAGTTCTTAATTCAACAGAATAGTTAGAGTTTGGGGTTTTGGGGTTTTGGGGTTTTGGGGTTTTGGGGTTTTGGGG